TGCATGGTGCCGCTATTAGCAGTCCATGGAGTAGCATATATAATACTGTTCTCCTCAAATATATGCAATGTTTTAAATTTGCTTGAATGCACTTTCTGGTGCTAAGTGTTATAATTCCTGGGAAATTTCACATCCAATATCCAATTTGGTGTGCTTTTTACTTTCCGTTCCAAAATGATAAAATATGAATAAATAAATAAGAGAAGCATATAACTAAACGTGATTGGTATAATGTGATTTCCAAACGACAAATGTGCGTAAATCTAAATGATATTTTATATTCTTTTTAATCATCAAAAATTTCCTAAATTATTATGTTTTCAATAGTATTAGTTTTAAGGCTAAAATGTGTTTTCAGAAAATGCATATATTTTGATCCTTAACACTTAGCTATAGTAGCATTAGATTTATAGTAAAAATTTCACTCTAGTCATAGATCAAATAAGAGCATCCTTTATAGAAATTACTAGCTGTTGTCAAGGACTGCCGCATGACACCTTGAAAATGCATATGGCTAGGGGCATCGTATTGCAGTGAAAAACATATTATCAACTTCAATTTTTGCAAGTGTTTACTGCATTCCATAGATTTTGTGTCATGCTAATTTCTGTTTTAGTTTTGACTTGCACAACAATTGCTTGAATTGCAGCAGCAATATATATATATTATATATTTACAATAACTTACAAATTTGTCAAACACAGATTGCTGACGTCAATGAGCTCACACCCCTTCCTTTTGATCAAAACAAGAAGTTTATCTTTTTTTTTATTGTTAAAAAAATTGATACATAGTCAAAGTAGTATGCATATCATATGTATAACCGCTACCCTATGTTTAGAGTGAGTACATGTATGTATTCTTTTATTTTTAAAACCTAATTGTTATTAACAGTTTTAAACTAGCTTTAATAAAAATTTCAACAAAAATATAAACATGCTTTTCCCTTTTAATTTCACCAGCATTTCACGATCAGCTTGAATAGCTTATCTACAAAATTCTGCAAAGTTTTTAACCAGTTTCACTAAATTTCGACAACAAAAATAAGCATACTTTCCCCTTTTCACAAGCATTTCAGCTTGAATAGCTTAGTATCTACAAAAATTTTGCAAAGTTTTATATAACCTTTTGATTAAAAAATACCTTTATTTCCCCACTTTACCAACCATGATAATGACATTTTAAACTTGTGTTTACATGTGAATAATAAGAGGTAGTATAAATATCCTGGGCAACAGGTAACATATCTACAGGTTTCAACCACCTGGAACTAATAATTATCGAATAAGTTTCCGTTATTTAAAAAAAAATGATTATGTTTTCCTGTGTGTTAGATGTATTAATACGTTTTTAATACAAAATGGCAAACATTAGTGTGTTTTTTCAATGATGCCTTTATGAGCAACATTATACAGTATGCCAGCTGTGAAGAGATATAATAAAACTTCATACATGTAGATAATAATTTATTCTTTATATGTTGTCTTTGCTAAAGGAAATTGCATAAAAAATTCCTAAAAAGAAGATTCCAAAAATCAAATAACGTACATACAAAACATCATTGGGGTGCATACTATATATGCATAAAAAATTGTAAGAAATTGCACGAATTTGTATAAATTAGCAAGACCTCAGTGGATTATAGACCTACAAAACTTTGCAAATATTTGTACAATTTTGTTTTAACTTTTTCTCGGATATATGCACTCTATATACAGATAAGACTCCTTTACAAAATGTTAAAGTTTCCTTTTAGTTTGTTGTATTCAACACACGCACACAGTCTGGACTCTCTAGCTACTGCTAATCATTATCAGTTTATAAATGACTGTATGAATTATTCTGTAAGTTTTAATGGAACACAAAGTAATACCCTGCGAGTAGAGTCTGGTTTTTCTCTCGACCACTGAGGAGATGAAATGAGACTGCTTACAGGGCAATGAAATAACTGTCACTATCATTTAGTTTAAAGGTTAACACCAAGCCCCTAGGGTTCATGCTATATTAAAAGGATGAATTGTAAACCTATTAACATGAAAAGGATACATGTATAGTACTTGGGTGCACTTGTATCATACTAAAAAAAGGTTTACTTGCAAAAATCAAGTGTTAATATTTTTCCTTATGTGATAAAAATGTGCATAACAAGGTTTAATGATAAACGATTAGGATTTCTAATGTGAGAAGCTAGAACAGTAAATTGCTACAATCTTTTGTTCAGAGCACCTTAAAATTATTTTCATGGTATTATTATTATTATTGTTATTATTATTATTATTATTATTATCATCATTACTATTTTAAAACAAAAGCTTCAGTTTTAATAGCTTGTAAAGCTTATGAATAAATGTTCTTTCTTGGGAAACAAGAGTTTTTTCATCAGTATGTGGTGAAAAAGGCCACAACAATTCTGAATATCTTGTTTTCATTTTAGGAAATAGTATAAATAATAATAATAATATTAGTAGTAGTAGTAGTAATCAAAAGTGGATCTATATGTAGCTTATATGGATATGAAATATTTTTTCTAACATTTTTTCTCAGATCAGCTGGAAATATTTTTTTTGTGTGTGTTTGTTTTTTGCTGCCCTTGTTGGTGTCATTGTTTTTGCTAATAATATTGAAAACTATGCACAATGACAAAACATGTGAACATATAAGAATTGGCTCTCCATACAGTGTAAAAATAAAAATCTAGGCCCTGGTGGATAATTCTTATCCAGTGGATTAATTTGTTGGATAACAAAATCCACTTAAGTGCTGAATGTAAATTGAGCATTCCTAAGAGTTAACATCACTCTACATATAAATACAAATATATATCATGCTATTATTCTTTCCAATTAAGCTGTCACACTACAGCTGAATGTATAATACAAAGAGACAAATATTGATTGTAGAATGACAACTTCACAAGCCAATCTTAGCGTTAAAACTTTCTGTCCTGCCAGAGATTAATAATAATTTGCATGTTACTTGATAATTATATTGAAAATTGATGTTAGAGATAATGTTTAGAGATAATAGATTGTCTGAAATTGTTGTACAAACACCTGGATGCTGTTTGATTATTTATCTTTTAAGTATAAGTTATTGTTTTTCTTTGCTATAAGTATTGAGTTACACTGCAATTGAAATAAAAACTTAAGGAAAGTAAAAAGACATAAAATATTAAAGAGTTCCTTGATTTTGTTTGCTATGTGCAATAAAGTTGTATTAAGCTAATTGTTGATTGTGAAACATACACTTATATATAGGTACAAGTAGTTTGTAAGTAGATATGGAGTTTTGCCAAAAACATGTTTCAAGGGATTAATAATTGGATTAGGATTGAAATTGTATACTTAAGCTTTTTCACATAAGCAAATTAGTGTACTTCCTCTAGGCAAACATGCCTAATTCCATTATCTATTAATTTTACTTTTTGATCAACCTAACTACTGCATCCCTTTCATTAAAATATGAATGCACTCAGAAGGCTACTAAGTGCAAGAGAAGCATAAATAAGAGATGCACAAATAAAGGGCAAAGCTGACTACAATTCTAGCTTCCAACCAACTCAAGTACATCCATAGCTCAGTGGATGCAAACTCAGTGAATTTCCATATCTTTTATAACCTTGCAAGACTAAAAAACGTTTTTGACAATAGTTGAAATAATATTTTATCATATAATTATCCATAAAATACCTATATTTCTCCTTTTTGGAAAACTGATATTTTCAGATGTGAAAATAACATGTTATTTTCACATGTGAAAATATTGTTACCATGTGTATTTAAGCTATTAGTTAGTTATAATAATAAAAAGCTTATTAAGTTGATTTTATGGATAATTTAAATGATAAACAGAATATTACATGGGTGAAATTTATCTTCTCATGTTGAAAATCTCTCTCTCGTTTCGCTGTGCTCACTCATGCGTGAGAGATCTTTTCAACACTCGAAGATAAAGTTCGTATCTCCAAGCGCCCATGTAATTTCCTCTATTTACTTTCTTTCTAACAAAACCTCCAAGATTAAGCTAGCACACACTTTAAGTTCAGCTTGCTAGCTCACACATGCACTATATAAATTATCGATCAGTGCATGTTGTAAAATTGTTTTGCTGTTGATGGTTAGATGATGCTGTTGTTTTTGATTTTGTTACGAGTGGTTTACTTTGGTATCTGTGTTGATTTTGTTGTGATTTTGTGGTTCGCTGCTAATGTTGGCTATTGTGAACGATCTGTACCGTACGGTAAGGTTTCAGTAAGTGGTTGGTAAGGTCTCGGTAATTGGTTGGTAAGTGGTTGGTAAGTGGTTGGTAAAATTTGTCGGTTAGGTAACGGTGTCGGCATTTATTAGCAAATAATGTTTGAAAAGCATATATGTATGACCTCTATTTATTTGTTGACTCCTAGAAGAGCAGTTTGGTTTTTGTCTTTCCTCCAATGTCAATACCTTGCAGCAATATCGTGCATAATCGAGAAAAACAAGTCATTTTGAGCATTTCTTCTCCAAGTAAACTCGTCGAGGTACTCAGGAATGCGGTCATATCTTTTACAATTCATATGCTTGAACTTTCATTTAACACTTCCCAAACTCTGTCAATGGTGTTTGTGTGGACACCAGTATGTGGATCAGTGAAATTCTTTGAATGGTTTACTGAGATGGATTTAGCCATGTTCGTGTACTGTTTGATATGTTGTGTAGTCATCTGAGTACATTGTGCTGCCCGATAAGATATGTTGCTGGATGATCAGGAACACAGTTTCTCGAGTGTGGTCAGGTACACGAAAAAGTGCTACTTCTGTTTTTTATAGGCCCCTTGCAGCACGTCAGAATGCAGCTAAATTTGGAAGGCAAAACAGTAGGTTTCCAATTCTCAGGGAATTGAAATTCTTTTGTTTTGTTCTCCAAATTAAGCTTCTTTGACCTCCCGGAGTCTATTGATACGTATGTTTTCATTACATTATTGTGTAGTGTAGTTACAAACTTTTTTTTTGTCTTATTTCTTAGGCTGTAACTCGAGAATATGTGAATCTCAGGGAATACCATGCCATAGTGATAAATGCAATGACTCATTGTCATGCCCGCCTAATAACGACCATTGTTTCTCTCTGTGGGAGAACACTACTGAAGGCGTAAGAGTGATAAAGAAGGGATGCTGGCGTACCAATCCTGAAGAATGTATAAATGGTGGATCATGTTTTGGTACTCCCAGACAAAAGGGCAAGACTACAGTATTTTTCTGCTGCTGTACTGGGGATAACTGTAACAGAAATTTTTCTTTGGCTCCGGTTAGTCAGTGGATTGTGAAAACACGAAAGCCATCTGGAAATGGTAAGATAAAGTTCATCTTTATTATTTTTAACAGCATGAAATGAATTTTATCACAACAAAAGGAATTTATCTCTGTACATTGTCTGGAATGCAATTTTGGAAAAGTATTACAGTAGGTTTGAAGATGCAGTTCCAGTAAATATTTGAATTATAGATGAAAGCAAGTCATGGTTCATTGCTTAGTTCACGTGACTGAAGTTCAGAAGTTCATATCAACTTGGGAATTAATTTGAAAACAAACTTTGGAATGGGAGCAGCAGAAGTCTCACGAAACCAACTGTAAGCTTTTTTCATAGATCTGAATGCAATCCATTAAATTTTGGTGCATCCTCTAGTATTTTGTTATGGAATATAGTATTTATAAAAATGTATAATATAATATTAATTTTATAATATTTAATATAAATTTCAAAGCCTGTTTATTCCAGCTAGTTGACCCTAATAAAATATCTTAAATGGAACCTTTTTAATTTTCTCATAGGCTTCCCGACTACCTCGGCAGTCAAAACTGATTTACCAACAGTAAAAGACCCCAAAAAGACAGGAAAAAGGGACAACCTTAAGACATTATTATATTCTATTATACCAATATTTGGTTCGGCTCTACTGTTGGCAATTTGTCTCTTCATGTACCATCATCAAAAGCAAGCCCGCTTCATGCATGGTTTAACAGAGGAAGAGCCACTCAATGTACACCAACCCCCCTCGCCTGTTCTGAGCATGAGACCTATTCAGCGATTGGAGGTCATTTCACAAAGCCAAGGTGGCATCACTGTTTGGAAGGCCAAACACTGCTTTGAATCAGTAGCAGTTAAAATATTCCCAGAGCATGAGAAGACAGCATGGTCAAATGAGAAAGACTTCTATACCCTGTGTAATTTAAATCATGATAATGTACTCAGATTCATAGCTGTAGAAAAACACATTGAAGGAATTTATACTGAATATTGGCTTATCACAGAGTATCATGGATACGGCTCACTGTCTGACTATTTAAAGCAACATATTTTAAGCTGGACTGAGCTCTGTCGATTAGCTAAAACAATGGCAGCAGGGCTTGCGTATGTACACTCAGAGGTCAAAGGTAAGGATGGGTTTTTTAAGCCCTGCATAGCACACCGAGATGTGAAAACCAAGAACATACTAGTTAAAAGTGATTTATCTTGCTGCATTTCTGACTTTGGTCTGGCCCTGAAGTTTGATGAAATTGAAAAGCCAAGTGAAACACATGGACAGGTAAGAAGACAGATATAGATTGTGTCCTTATACTACTCTTCCAAGTAGACCGTTACACCCACCTTTTTTCAACCCATCCAGAGGAACTTTTAAACCTGCCCGCGGCTGAGAAAAATTGATTGTGTGACCGCATTTTGTGTACCACGTGATGAGCGTTGGTGTTGTCAAATTTTGATCATGTGGTACATCAAAAAGCTCATCACATGGTACACAAAATGCGATCACGCGATCAATTTTCCTCAGCAGCGGGTGGGTTTAAGAGCTCCTCTGGATGGGTTGAAAAAACATAGGGTGTAACAGTCTACTGGGAAGAGTAGTAACTTAATTATTACCCTAGTTATAAGCCTACTTTACGTATCTCTAGGGTCTCACAATATTTTATGCTGTTGATGACTCAAAAGATTGATTGGGAAAATAAAAGAAAGAAATAACCATTTCCTCATCCCCAACACTTTTCCCTTTCAGTTATAAGCCCCCTAGCTATAAGCCTAGCAAAAAGCCTATTTTTAAAAACAAGCATAAGCCCAAGGGTTAGAACCAGGGTGTTTTTTTCAAGAAAATAGCATCTTAAAAGTTAATGGAGGATGTATGAGAGCAGTTTTTTATGGATGTGAAGAGCATAATATTGATAACATTTATGATAAATAATGTGCTCTTGTCAGACCATGACAATGCTTAAATTGTGATGCTATAGGTCTTGTCCGTTTACTCATAAAATGCCATAGGGCCTCTATATCTCTGCTCCATGACTGAATTCATGAGAGTATAATAAATACAGTAGCAGTAACCAAGTTGATACATGTACACATGTCAGTTATCATGCTATGACCAGTTATGTGTTAGTTACTGGATTGTACGTGAAATCTGCCCTCATGGATGAACAGTTCCTTTACTGCTATTCGTTCAATGAATATTATTGTTATAATATGTCGACAGCTATTTTCCATAATATTGATGCTCCATTTACTTTAAAAGATCATTACCAGCATACTTCTGTTAATGACATAATGGCTCCTATTAACTTGTCTACATGTTTTCCTCCTGCCACTTGAATACCTTTTTAACCATTAAAAGCATACTCAGAATGTATCAGTCATCACAACATGCAATTATCTGATACTGTATACACCTATTTGAAAAAATGTAGTCGGGTTCAAGAAGGTCATATCATTGAAGTTAAGACCAAAAAGGATTTTGGGTACTCCGAAATGTATATTATATTTGCATATAGACAGTATTATATTTGTATATAGACATGTAAAAATGCACAGTAGAGCAAAGTCGGTCGACCTAGATTAACAACATGCCAAAGCCATGATGCATAAAATGTGAACAGGAAGGGAAAACTGCAATACGCATAACATTAGCATGATTGTTTGTCTTTCCATGCTCCTCTTTGGTCTTAGCTTTGATGATATAACCTTTTTTTGGAACCGACAACATTTTGCTGACAGCATTCACTTGTATTCTCAGTTTTAGTGCATTTGTCATCAAAATAGGCAATTGTATGCTAGAAAAACTTTCACCATCAATAATTAGATCCACCATTATGAAACAATGTCTTGTTTCCTATAGGTGGGCACCAAGCGTTACATGGCACCAGAGGTTTTAGAAGGGGCCATCTGCTTCACGAGGGAGGCATTCCTACGTATAGATATGTATGCACTTGGGCTTGTGCTGTGGGAGCTGGCAACGAGATGTTCTGCCGCAGATGGTATGATTTCCAATGCTTATTTGGTATATTATTTAACGATTATTATGTGGATATTGGGGAATAGCAAGCCAAGAGTTTTAGAGTGGCGAGGTTATTATTCCCCACATTCAATCAGCCTGAGGTGAATAATTGTTTTAGTATCATTTTAGACTTGGATATCAGAGAAGACTAAATTCTGGAGAAGTATTACTCAAACAGTGAATATTGTCTCCTAATCACTGGTAGCTCGACCAATCCTAGAGCACAAAACTCTATGTTCAAGTCTAAAATTATATGAAAATGGTATATTTCTCTTAAACGCAATCCCCTCTCCTTGCCCCACTTCTACCAGCTTATTAGATTTTTTGTAAACCTTGATCATCAGAATGTCGATAGATACTATTCTTTCTTCTCTAAATTCTCTTTTGGGATACCATTGAAAAACTGAAGAATTAAGAGTTCCAATTACTACTGGCTGAGAACCTGTGAAAAATAGCTACTCTATATTTTTAAAATTTTTAGGGTTTTCACAGGGTTTTCACAGGGCTTTCACAGGGTTTTCACAGGATTTTCACAGGATTTTCACAGGATTTTCACAGGGTTCTTGCAGGGTTTTCACAGGGTTTTTGCAGGGTTTTCACAGGGTTTTTGCAGGGTTTTCACAAGGTATTCACAGGTTTTTGCAGGGTGTTCGCAGGGTTTTCACAGGGTTTACAAAGCCTATTACACTTGATGTAAAATGCAACATATTTTCCAGGGCCAGTAGATGAATATAGACTGCCATTTGAGGAAGAGGTGGGGCTGCATCCATCACTAGAAGATATGCAACAAGTAGTAGTACAGCAAAGAATTAGGCCTAAAATTAGGGAGGACTGGAGAAATCACAGAGTGAGTATTCTCACATCTTTTTTGCATCGTAGGAAAGTACAAACTTAAACAATATAGTAATCGTATTCCTGGGAATAGATTTGAGATGTTTGCACTAAATTTCCAAGATTATGAGTGTGTAGATATTAGCTTTATGTATTCAGCATGCCATATCTGGTTTTGATTAGTGCATTGCTTTACTGCATGATTCTACATATGCCTTTATCATATGTGCTATCTCAATGAGATTCTTTGATCTGTCATACCAAGCAAACTTGTCCAGATCTTATCAGTAGACTGCTCTTGCAAGCTTTAATCCTTATATGGTGGTGAGAGAGTGCAAATGTATTATTAGCCAAATCAGCATTTATGAAAATCTTTATAGAATTGTATCATATGCATTGTATAAGCCAAAATTTGTTTGAAGCGTTTTCTATTTTTATTTAAGATTTAGAAATCTTCTTGCATTTTAAAACATATTTATATATTGCATACATATATTGCACTGAATGAGGTTTGCAGCCTTTACTGTGTGCTTGCAGTTGCAGTGTGCTTTCTTTTGGATTTAGAAATATTTTTCTTCAGCTACTGTACATGTTTTTGCACACAAACCGTTTATTGACTCATCCCCCAAAGCCAGACTCTTCCGAACCAATAAACCACATAATGTTGACACATGTTTTAAACTAGCTTTGTCTGTTACTCTTGACCTTCCAGGGCCTAGCAGGGTTAGTGCAAACAGTTGAAGAATGTTGGGATCAGGATGGTGAAGCAAGATTAACAGCACAATGTGTAGAGCAAAGAATAGCCCAGTTTGTAGGATACAACAGTAACCAAGGCTTCTTGGACCAGGTACCAACAGTGACGTCAGTCATCAATAATACCTCCAATACCCCCCCCTCGAGAGAATCAAGCTTATGAGTGGTAAATATATAGGTATATAATGTGCGTTATTTCAAATTCTCTGTTAGTCAAGTTTGATTTTCCTGTTTATATTATTCAAACATCTTTCATAATGACTTCACTGATAGTGGGTTTTTCAATCAGACTGTTTACGCTTACAGTATCTTAATAACTATACAGATATACATTAAAGGCTTTCTACCTTTCTATATTGAATATATTTACTGTACATACATATAGCAGAACCTTCTATGTATGCATATACACATTGTCAATGTAAAAGCTAATATTCGGGTAGTAATGCAGTTTGAACAGACGCACCCGATCGTCAGTCTTATATAAGAATTAGCTTTTTCTCGTTGACTAACTTACATTAATAGCCTGCTTCCGAGATATTCTTCGCTTGTCACGCACAAAGGTTTCAGTACGAGGCTACGTGCTAAATGAAATTTGTCCTTTTCTCTTGTCACGAATTACTGAGCATCATACACGAAGCCTCACATTGAAACCTTAGTGTATAACAAGCGAAGCACTTCTCGGAAGTGGACTATTGAAATGACTTCATGCTGTAACAAAAGGACTATAACTGCTCTCTGGTTTATTATGTTATTACTTCACATTTCTTATAATACTATTTAATATTGGTGTATGTATATATATATACAAACACACACACACATATAGCCGTTGTTTAACAATTATTCCGTTTACTTGGACCAATAATCTTACGAAAAAGTACCATCTTCTATTTCAAACATACTTCTTAATTATGCTCGTACTATTCTATACATCTAATATTTTAAAAGCTGCTTATCATTCATAGATATATGTGTATCTGTTTAAGCTTTCATCTGGACGGTTAGCATATCATTGTGTTGGTAAAAAAAATAGCAGTCTGTCTCCATTCCCTGCATGGGGCATCCCAATATTTACAGGGAAGCTTGCTATATAGGGTGATATTAGTCTTCGATTTGCACGTGACGTCATCGCGGTCATGCTGGTGGTGTTTAACGAAACATTCCTCATTACCATCCATCATTAACCGCACCAACACGGCCGCCATTTAAAACCATATGTATTTTACAAGAATTTTTGTCTTCAAGACCGTGCATGTTGTGTGCGTACATATATACCCATGCATATATAGATATTTATGAAATACTTGCTGATTGGCTGACTACCGTGTTTATATCAGAAGACAGAGACGCTCGCGCAAAATCGTTCAGAAATATTTTATAAAAGCAATATAAAACGGCTGCTTATGTCTTTGTACTGTGATATATGCACTTTGGGGGCTGTAGAGCACTCGAAAAGCAAAAAAAACCCCTCGTGCTCTACAACTCCCAGCGTGTTTATATCGCAGTATAGAGACATAAACACTCGTTTCATATTCCTTAAAGATGCATATAAGTCAGTGACGCTAAAAAGGTTGTGTATTGGCCTTTTCTGAGTTCGATAAACTGAAAGTGTTGAGATGCAACTTCAATACAAACAACACCAAATAATACATAGAAGCCAGACCGTGCACCATGCTTCTTGTCTCAAAATTGGTCGATGCTCAAAGAACACAATTAGCTTTATCAACTCTTTAAAAAAGTGTTAATTTATTGATTTGTTCGAAATAGAAATCTGACGCTTCATTCATATGTATTTGTCATAATTGACACCCTTTTTAGCGTTGACTGTAAATAGAAAGGTTATCGGAGCGAAAGGAGATAAGCCTTATGGACCAACACATGCATTTTATCAAGATCTATAGAGATGATTTATGTTTGTCACTACAAAAAAAAAAGGGGGGGGGGGGAAATCAGTCCCCGATAGGAATCGATCCCATGACCTTACGGATATAAGATAACATAAGACCTCTTGAATTTATCAAAAATTTAACATTTGCAAACTTTTAAAAAAGCGTAAGAAAACGTCATTTTCGTGGTATTTCTCCAGGAAAAAGTGACAATGAATTATTTTGTTGGATCCACAATGCAAAGCGGTCTTGACACGCCATTATGAGCCCGATAACCGTTCATGACATAAGATACGTATGTGTATATCATCTACATATATAAAATATACACTCGCTAACTGAAGACACCAAATAGTCACAGTACGATAATTTGGAACGCTAAAACTTCTAAAACTACCGAACTTCTTGAAAAATCCACGGTTAATAATAACTATTTGAAAAAAAAACAAAAACAAATTGGTTTTATGTAAATATGTATAGACTCAGTTCCAAGCCGCTGGTGGTGTGAATGACCAATCTCTTTTCAAATTATCCAGATCATATTGGATATTGATTCGTCTGTTTTTATTCCCTTACGTATATATTATTGATTATCTATAATCCTTATTAACAATACAAGGTTCTATCAAATGATTTAAAGGTTCCCGTCTACATTCTGTAGGATCAGCATTCGCTCCTCGAAGTTTCAAGGTGGACTGGTAACGAGTTAAAGCGAGGTAGAATTTGTTCTCGTCTTGAAACAGGGCCGTAGCCACCGGTACGGTTGGTCCGGTTGAAACCGGACCAACTTTCGGGAAAAAAATATAAGAAAAATAAGAAAAAAATATAAGAAAAACTGAAAACCCTCGAAAACCGGACCAATCAGAAATTTGTGGCTACGGCCCTGCTGAAATGCAGTACCATAATCCTTGGCACTTCGAAAAGGCGAAGTAGTCTTGACAGAAAGGAGAAGCTTTCATTCCTTAGAGTCCTCGTTCCTTTTACTCAGAAGCTAGGAACGAGTTCCTGAATGAACCAGTTTGACCGGAAATACTGTTTTTTTAATGCAATTGATGGTTTTCACGGCGGCCATGTTGGAGGAACTTAACGAAAGAATTGTCAATAAATTCTTTTGTTATATCCTCCAAAATGGCCGCCTTTTCTTTTGTTATTTAATTCTCTTGGGAATGGTTGAAAACCATCAATAGCATTGCTTTGATTCATCCAGACCTCGTTTCGTAGTGTGTTTCAAAAGTAACAGACTTGCGATAAGATTTTTAAAAAGCCAATCAATTTTGTCGGCTTATCCTTTCTAGTCAATACCATCGATGACTCATTTATCAGGCCTCGTTGGTCCTTGTTCTGGTATGCATAAACGTAGTCTTGATACTTTTGATATTTTTTAAAATGTAATCTTTGTTTTAATCAATATATTATTTTTATATTTGATCGATTATTCAATGTAGCTAAATAAGTGTCCCATGTTAGAGTTTAGAGATTAGTATTTAGACTTGTAGCCAGAACATAGAAACATAGAAAAGTACGAGTTCTATACTTAAAGCATAAAAACTTTATTCATTTGTGGCTGAATTCAGTTCAAATGGACTCAGTACATCGACGATACGGCGGTCATCTTGCCAGAGGGCAAAACAAAACAAACAAAAATGAAGGAAAATACATAGAGTTAGTGCGTTTGTCTTTCTTTTATGGGTAAATATGATCGATGTGCCGTTTTAATTCGTCTTTTATTGTATTCTGTTGTGGTGAGCTGTTAATATCATTTGACATCATTACTATAACGAAGCTCTATTTGCCCCCTGGACAGCCCATAATGCCTTGCAATCCAAGATGGCCACCGTATTGTCGAAGTAGTCCATTAATGACAAGAAGAAAATACTAAGTTCCTGATATTGGCAAAAGACGACCGCAACCTTTTGTACTAACATAAGTTGCTTCCCATAGAGATATGAGATCAATTCTTATACCTAAAGAAAGATAATAAACTCACGAATCAGCCACGATTGAATATGGTGCACTCTATGCATTGTATAGTGTAACCGAACCCATTACGCCGTGCGAAACAATATTTCTCTGACTTTCTATGACATATTATAGCATTACTGTAACCATCCCAAACTGAAGTACTTCACTTCAATAACCAACCAAATATATACAGTGATATTCTAAGAAACAATGATAGACGTTTGCTGTTGTATACCACCAAGATCAAACCAATGTAAAGGCATAATCCCTACAGAAAGTATTTGAAAATATATTATGATGATTGAAAAAAAAACTAGTACTGTTGTTCTTTTCTTTTGATGAAGGTCTTTTGACCCCTAAACTTCTGATCTAATTCCTTCCTTGGAATGCGCAAAATGGCCCTTACTCATGCGGCAACTATCTTTTTTGCCTAGAATTGGAACCTTCCAGCTGAGCTGAATTTTGTTTCAATCACAGCGCGTTTAGCTGTTTTGCCGCCAGCCTTCTTTCCCAGGCTACTATAACCCCACTTTTGCGTATTTTTCTGTTTTCTTTTGACTAAAAATATATAAATGTGCCTACAAGAAGCAGAAATATGGAGAAGAAGAATAACCATTTCACTCAACCACCATGTTTGCTTCGTTCTTTCGAGCTCCAAAAATGCTTAGGGCCGTTCATTTTGTCAACTTATGCTTTGAACGCCGCGCCAAAAAAAAGATTTCTACTCTTTATGGGAGGTCGCACTCAGAACAGGACAAAAACGGGTAAATATTTTGCCTTTCAATCGTTTTGAAACTCATTTTATTCTCATTGTTTTCGAACTTGGATATTTCAAAAGATTCTGGATTTTTTACTGACACTCCTTAAGTTCCTTTCTTCAATTACTTTGGAGTAGACTATTGTTTACAGGAATGTCTCAAGTAGTCAATCCGACCATAGTTAATGGAGCGGAATGGTTGGGAAACCTTTTCTATGTTTTTGTTCAACTTTATCCATTGTTATATGACGCTGACCGTGCACAGAGAAGGAAAAGTTGCACCGTTTGTTCATAATATTTGGAATATTGGCCTTTTTTCTTCCTAAAAAAACCTAAAATATGAGAATATGTGGACCGCGTAGCACTAATGAAATACATGAAGATATAGAAATATAGACAAGTTATAGTGCTTGGGAACGAGGTTATTCCGGGCGAAAGCACTTGGAATTAAATTCGGAAAAATTAAGTTCCGACCTCGCTGGGAATCGAACCCACGACCTTCGGAATTGTACTACCGATGCTCTACCACCTGAGCTAGAGGTGAGACTGAGAGCAGGCCGGGGTGAAATAGATGTTAGGTTGCGGTAATTATGATGCACAGATGAGAATATGTGGACCGCGTAGCACTTATGAAATACATGAAGATGAAACATATATCATCTTCTAAAATATATATCATCTGTTAATTATTCCTATATGATTAATATTAATTGTTTATTTAAAAGAAAATTGCCTTTTTTCATGCTTTCTTATTTATCATCTAGTAATTTAACTGTATCTGCGCGGAAATATTTATCCGCATGGTTTGTGGTCATAGAATGAAAGTTTTCACTTTCAAAATGTTCATACATGAAAATGATAAGGAAATGAGTATTTTTAGCCATACTTGCTTTGGTTCATTGTGCACCGTAAGTATCACGTGATGGTACGGTTCAACATCAAACTCAAAACAATAGCTTTGTTCTATGGAGTTTCCAATTTATTCTGCTCCATTAACTATGGTCCGACCGGTCAATTGCCCTATTTCGTAATGTCGTCACATCAAAACAAACTATTGTTTTAACGCTAGGGATCATGGTCGCTGGAGGGGAATGGAATGACAACAACACATCTYAAATCACAATGAAATTTGGTTTATGTGCTGGTGAAGGCAAGAACAACTGAATATTGCGCTAAATATCTCGAAAGAAGAGAATTAAGCTTAAATTTAGCCCAAATTTTTATAATTTTAGCCGATGTAAACATATTTGTACAATTATTGTTAATAGAATTTTGAATACTTGTTACTATATTTCCAGATTGGTAGATTGAATAAACTGATTGATTGATTGACCCTCAGTATTCTTTTTTTTCCAAATTTCTAATTTCGGTGAGTTGGAGCGCCCACATTTTTATTTACCAGCGGTAATCGTTTGAAAATTCCAAGATGGCGGCTCAACGGTACGAAAGCTATTAAAAACGCACTAAATTAGACAGAAATCATTCTGCCGTGCTCCTTCGATCTACTTTTATAAAATAAATTAAATAGTACGCAAGCTGTGATTGGTTTATAGCCATGTTTGCATGAGGGTATGTAAACACAGTTGTGACGTCACAACTTTCGTGTTTTCCCGATCCGGTACAAGTTCAAACATTTACAGTTTCTTTCGAGGAAAAAAACGCCCCCAAAAATGTATTTTGAAGACGAAGTTCCAAATTTTGACTTGTGCCAGGACCACAGGCATAAACCTATGGTCTCATGCAGGTGTTTCTGATCGTAATATCGATCATGACAATCTCTTGTTGGTCGCCGTAACGAGAATTCCCTCAGGAGCTACAACACACGTCCTTCGTCAGGACAGCTTCGGTTGTTCAGCGACGTGTTTTCTCATGATTTAAATGCACCGCCCGATAAGGAATACAAGTATTTCAAGGAGACAGTCAGCAGCTTYAAACTTTTTCCAGCGATAGCTCTTCAGCTCCACCAAATATCTTATTGAGGCAAGACGAAACAATCAACTTTACTGCCATGTTTTCTGGCTGTCAAGTTGAGCAAAACCACGTTTCTTTCAACCGAGAATTCCAGTCACAGTGACACTCAGTTATCTACTTTTGATCACTTTCGTAAAGAAAATCAATTCTCAAATCTTTTATTAAGATTTCTATTCAATCTTTGGACATTTCTTTGTATTTGTTTTAAAGTTTTAGAATGATAAATGTTTAAAATAGCTATAGCGATTCTTTCTCGCTTCACATTTGCCTCCTTGGCGTTTATTACACGAAATTTGATTGGCTAACGACCGAAGTTCGTGATGTATGGAGAATTTGTATTTTGATATGAGAATCAAATTCAAATAAAGATTTATTTTCTTGCAAGTGGTAATGTTTTCCCTTAGTATTTATTTTATAAAAGCAATAGAAAACTTTTTTCTCTGTGTTTACATAGCCTGATAGCAACRCTCGGGGGGTTGGGAGAATTCTCGACAGTTATGCAAAGCCTCGACTACGTCTCAGGTTTGCATAACTGTCTCGAATTCTCCCAACCTCCCCTCGTGTTGCTATCAGGCTATGTAAACACGGAAAAARTTTTCTATTGCTTAAAGGAAATAATAAGATTAGAGAAAACGGGCGAAGAAATCTGCACCACGTGACTGTTTTTTCTGTACCACGTGATCGTTTTTGAACGAAATGATTGACCAGGAACGATCCTGCTGTGCTACAAAAACAAAAAACACCGAGAGAGAGAGAGAACTGTTTAACGGAAATGTTACCACTAGTAATTTCTTATATTAATAGTGACTCACTGATATTTTTATGTGGCGCATTTTAGTTAAATCCGCGTTGAAGTAAATATTTTTCAAATCCCCCAAACTTGTAGAAATGTATGATTATTCTCATTGTTATATAGCTACGAAATTTTCCGATATAGCGAACACTTTCATTGGTTGAAAGATGACCACGTGACACTAGCTAAATCTAAATGTATCCCGACCGGGAAATAAGTTGCACGTGACAAGAATGGTGAAAATAAACAAGTGCACGTKGTGAGAACTAGCTATTTCCCTCGCGRCCAGACATTAAGTGTATATTATAAAGCTCCTGTTCTGGTATCGTGGCCCGTCAAGTTCCTCAGATTAAATTTTCTCAAGGTTTCGCACGCAACCTTGAGAAAACGGTCTATTCAATTTGCAGTCGCCTCACCAATCATGCATGCCAGAAGTTCATAACTAGAAGGGTCCATCTTCCATCATATAAAACGACCTATGTGTTTTGGGAGTGAGCTATTTTTAGTTATGTCAAATATGGACATTTTAACCGGAAGCACGAGCTAGCAAATGGTGGATCCCTCTTGGGGTAAGATTTCGCGCAGCAGAATAAGATCGTATAATTAAGATATCTATTTTATGCTGTACTGGTATAAAAGATGCAGAGAAACAAAAGCTAAAACTGATGTCCAATTAAACGCATGTGAAATGAAAACTGTGAAATGAAGACTGCATTGGAAAGGCTTCCTGTAAGTGCCAAAAAATTACTATGTTTAAGCTCAATTCGCCATAAGATCCAGAGGAACACAGGTAGAGCGGGTACAAAGGCTATTATTCATAATAAGAAAAAAGACAACATCGGTTTATTCCTTATTAGAAAGCGACATGTGATCAACAAACGGCGCGAGTGTTCACTTGCCCCGAAGGTCTACAGACCTTTATGAAGATATGGTGGCCATCATGATGACTTATATCGTTTTATTTAAGACATTATTGGACGCCGGGGGGGCAACTATTGGAAAATTTATGGGCTGCCGGCCGTCAGGATGCCTTTTTATTTAACTTCAGGCTTTTCAACGAGAAGCACATCTACGAAAGAGCAATTTGGTACTTGGAACAATATACGAAACACCAAAACTTCAAATTATTTGAAAATGTATCAATCTAAATCTCGTATTCAGGCCTATTTAATTCGTAAAGCATGCGCAGTAAGAAATAAAGGCTTTGAGTACGAGATTGAAAACGTGAAACCACCGCCACTTTATGATTTATAAATATTCTTCATGTTTACCCATCGGCATCATTCAAGATGGCTGCCGATTGAGTAAAAAGGTCTATTGCTCATTCTTCTTTGGCCTCATGGACTATATCGATCTTTTGACAGTCAAAGGTCCTTTTGGTCTTTGTGAACGAGTGCTAACCAAGCCTGCTAGCCAGGTTTAAAAGGGTTTGCCACAGGCATCCCAGCAATTAGAGCGCTCCTCGAATGGATGGGCCCAGAGCTCAGCTGGTCCGCTTTTTAAGCAAGTGAGATTTTGGCTGGTATGATATTTTCACGTAAAACTAAGTAAAAAAAATCAATTTTAATTTAATAATTTATCTATACCTATGCGTCCTACTTTTGTTGGTCCACTTTTTGTAAATTAGCACCCCCCCCCCCCCCCCCCCTTCAACAAAAATCCTAGCTACGGGCCTGCCTCTGTACTGTGACTAAGCACGCTGTGAGCGTAGAGCAAGAGAAAAGCAAGTTATGAACACACGAGATGAAGCCGAGTGTTTCTCTTGCTTGTCGAGTGCTCTATGGCTCTCAGAGTGTTTATATCACCGAGTACAAAGACATAAGCAGCCGTTTTATATTGCTTTTATAAAATAAATATTTTTGAACGATTTTGCGCAAGTGTATCTCTGTCCTCTGATATTCGGTAGCCAGTCAGTCAAAGCGCGCATTAAATTTCATATATTTTATAAAATCCTATATAACCGAAAAGACTCAAGCACGACCTATGGAAATTATATTATACCCGCTCTAGCTTAGTCTCCCCCACAGCCGCTTTCAGTGTCGTCACGCATTGCTTTCTCCCCTGAGTAGCTGAAAGCGGCTGTGGGGGAGACTAGCTCTAGCTAGGCGGATATTTCAATCATCCAAGCTAGAAGAGTGAAAGTTATAGCTGATCACGTGCACTTCATTTAGAACACGAGAGAAGAACCTGGGGACGAGTCGAGGTCAAGCACGGTAAACAAGCACGCTTCGAGCCATCTCTGTCTTACAGTACAACTACGAACTTTTTCATCCTTTTTAAAATTCCCATAGCTTTTATTAACCTAGCCTTGTCCAATTGTCAGCTATGTCGTCTTTGCTTAAGCTAGGCTCTAGGAAGGGAAAACCTCAAGGTAGAGTAGATAATGGCGCATTAACTTGGCAGGATTTGCCATCGTCTGACACTGACATATGCTCGTCTTTACTATGACATCTTTAATTCTTTATATTTCGTCTTCCAGATGGAAAACAGTGGCTTCATAATCCTGAAGCCCTCACACAGACAGCTGTGGTCTATCCAGTGAAGGTTAGAGTTAAGAATACTTGGGTTTTTAAATTAATTATTGGCGATGAAAATGCCGTGTCGTTCGCTCTTTGCACCAAACTTGTGCAGCAAATTTTACGAGGTTCATCCAAGAAAACACGTGCAAAAACTTAAAACCACTGCAAAAATATTATGCTCTCTTGGATTTAGAATCCTTCTGTTTACAATTGTCTTTTCCTTTTGAGATGGCATCAAAATACCTTTGTTGTCTTGTGTGGCTTCATGTGTTTTTCGTCAAATAAATAATTGTAAACTTGGAAGAATGTTAGACTAAGTTGTAAAGGTATCACATGAAAATCTGTCGAGAATTACTCAATAAGATATCAAGTTTCTTTTATTTCCTTTTAAAATATTTATTTACTCTGCTTTTGCTTCTGTTTTTTCGTACGTATTTATCATTAGCTCGTATGTTTTTGTAGCAGCGACGAAAGTCTCAAAGAGTTTTATGAGATACTTTACGTGCTAATAAGTCTAGTCTTAGAATCAAAAGTGTTCATCAAAGTCCTATCGAGTCGTTTAAGAACCTTGAATCCCACTTTTATTATTTAAAATGTAGCTATATGAATTGTTTTAGACATATATTCCATGTTTTTATCCACATTTTGCGACCTGGTTGTTTCCTACATCTTACTCGATGTGAATAATGATATCGTCATTCATTTTACATATCTTAACGAAGCTTCGATTTTTTTATCTCTAAAATAATATGATACTCGGTCAGTTTTAAATTCTTTCAAATACATAAGCATACGTATATAAAAATGGCAAGACATTTAAGTGTTTTAACTTACAAGTTGTTGTTGTTTTGATGCAAATTGAAATCATTAAACTTAAGAGGGTTCAGCTGTTGTGCTATTGTGACATAAGTTCTTTAATTTTTAAGATCTTTTAGTTCTATAATCCTCTGTTCCAAATGTGGGTGCAATTTGCAATCCAAAACTAATATGTTGCATACCGGTACATATATGCATATCACCAGATATGAGGTTCAACCTTGTTTACTGGAAAATTGTACATATTTTTCTTTTTCTTGATAGTTTCTTGGTCTGACTGAAGTAACACAAGCCAAGGGAACAGAAGTGATTAAAGATGCTATCACAAAAGTACAAGTATGTCTCACAATTTGATAAAATTAATTAATGATAAAGTGTTTTTAAATTTGTACAATATTCCTATGTTCATTTATTAACACAGACTCAGGGTTAGCCACATTTCAACATTGAAATATTTAATAAATGCCAAATTGTAAAGTAAAAAATGTTCAACTTCAAGGATACGAATAGTTCGAAATTCCATGGCCCTTCACCGGGAAACAAAAGTACAAGTATGTCATAACATTTAATAAAAATAAATGATAGAGTATTTTTGAATTTGTACAATATTCCTATATTCATTGATTTAATACAGACTCAAGGTTTATAGCCACATTTCAACATTGAAATATTTGATAAATGCCAAATTGTAAAATAAAAAATTTGCAACTTCAATGATGATACGAATAGTTTGATATTTCATGGCCCTTCACTGGGAAACATGAATATTCTGCTCAAAATTGAGACAACTAAAATATTACACCATTGATATTTATAAGCTTGATTGCTTAATCAATGAGGAATTAAGGAAGGAAAAAATTGTGTACTTTACCCTTAGAGGGGGTTAACSTTAATTAGCTTATAACTATTGTTTCTCAATCATTGAACTAGAAAAAGATGAATATATGGGTTATTTTTGTTTTTAGGTATAGTGCATTGTGCAAAAGTATAACCACTTTATATGTATTCGCATACTTCTATGCATTGGTTTTTTGTTGCCAAATAAACTTTTACATGCCTTATTTGATAAGACCAGTCAGCTACGCATCAAAATGTGTTGGTTTAATGTACGAAAGCCTGTGCATAAAGTATGTGAATACATTAAATGTGGTCTTACTTTTACTTGTGTAATTTTTAAATTGATTAATTTGTACATAAAACCCCCCATTATATATCCTCATTTTCTTCAGTTTGTGGCAGATTTTGAATTACTTAGGAATTTTTTGAATGTTTGAGAAGTTTACAAATAAGTGAATTATTAAATGGTTTTATTAATATTGTTTAGTTTGCAAATCATCTCAAAGTAAGTGAAGCTGGTAAAAAAGGAAGCAAATTGAAAAAAGTAGACTTGAAGATATCTGTTGATTCTATCAAAGTGGATGACATGAAAACAAAGGTACAGTAATGTTGTAAACCCACAGCAAAAGGATTTTTACAGTGCAAACACTCTAACAGGACAGCTAGACTGCATGCTGTGAATGAGTACAGGTCATCAAACAAATGACGAATAGCCCTCTTTAGATTGGGTTTTTGTTTTGCCCTTTTCACACCAAGTGTCATTCCTTTTAAAAATAGGATTCTTTGTTGTATTTGCATCCAAACAAAGAAATGATACTCAAGGGAATGACACGTGGTATGAACATGGGCAAAACAGATTCCTTGGCTAGGCATTTGACCCAACACATTTCATCACAATACGAGAATAGATGAATTGAGCTTAAGAGTGACCACAGTAAATTCGTAAAACTTTAGTAATACTAAATAGCACAATTTCATGCAAATTCCTTTGTTTTCTATTGTTTAACTAGCATTATTTTGTACTATTAATTAGTAATTAGTGTTTCACAGATTTACTGTGGTCACTCTACTTATTCTTGAAATATTTGATATAAGAAATTTTTTGTTAATCCACACCTGAGTTTTGACAGGACAAATATGACTCTTGCCTAAAAGATGACATTTTTATTTAAAAATAGCAATCACAATGTATTCAGCCAATCACAATTTTTCTTTTGGTTAACTTCGTTAAGTTGATGTGAAAAATTTCTTTTTTTWWAATTATTTTTCTCTGGCCCAAGGAAAATGGCACATTTATGAATTTTCCCCCTCCACCCTCCTCAGATAATCCTTGCTACACCCCTGCAAGAGATATATTTTCTTTGAGTAAATAGGAAAATGTTTCTATATATACATGTTATTACTTGAATTTTTTTCTTTATGAAGAAACTTCTGAAATTCAGACATTAGTTCTATACCCAATAATTTTGTTCCCATACTAAATTTTTTATGAACTTATGCATGTATATTGATTGAATAATTGATTGATTGATTGATTGATTTTATTCANATTTTTTATGAACTTATGCATGTATATTGATTGAATAATTGATTGATTGATTGATTGATTTTATTCATTTTTTTATTTCTTTATTTTATTTTTTTGCAGGAAGAACTTTACTCTTATCCTTTACATCACATTTCTTACTGTGCTGATGACAAGAGAAGCAAGAAAATGTTTGCTTTCATAGCAAAGGACAAGAGTTCTCCTCAGCACACTTGCTATGTTTTTGAATGTGAAAAAATTGTAAGTATTAAAACTGGAGTTATGTTGGTACATAAATGTAAGGTCAGTTTTGACACACATCACAGCAAGCATTATTTTTCATTTCTTTAAAAAAATACAAATTAGAGTACCCATTATTTTGGATATGAATGACAAAATAGAAAAGGTGCGTTCATGCTGTGTGCTCTTATAAAGCATGTGCTCCCATCCAATCAAAACGCAAGATTCATAACAGGTAATTTATAATATTCTTTGTTTGAACTGTTGTATCCAAGATTCATGTGTCTTCTTGTGTGCATCTGTTAACTGAAATAGGAAAACATTAAGCTCTAGCTAATGAGGATTTAATTAACAATTGTGTTGGTTTTCAAGACTGAAACTTTTTGCTACTAGTGCAGGTCTATGACTAATAGACCATGAGTAGCTCAGCCAATCACAGTACTGGATTTTAGATAGACCGTTAGTAGGGTTATACTAATGTTTATTATTTTCTTTTTTATAAGGCTGAGGAACTAACGTTGACAGTGGGTCAAGCTTTTGATCTTGCCTATCGACGTTATCTTGAAAATGTTGGAAGGCAGAAACTTCAGGCAGCTGAAACAGAGAAGGCAGGGTTGAAACAAAGGCTATCGCAATTAGAAGAAAGTCAACAGAGTAATTCAGCACCAACACCTGYAGCAGATAAGGCAAATTCTTGGCAGAATGTGGTAAGATAGCTGATGTTCATAAAGCTAGAGGGGAATCAAGGATGGTGTAGCAGTAATACACTCACCTCTCACCTCAGAGGTCTCTGGTTTGATTCTCAAACTCGGCATCACATGTGAGCAGAGTTTGGTCTCTCTCTCTTGATTTTGAGCGCTATTTCGTGGATTCTCTGGTTTTCCTTCTTTCACAAAACCTAACAAGCTGAATTTCAATTCTATCTGTGAGTTACCTGTACCCTGACTTTGATCAACCCAGAGTTTTGTTTTGAAAGGAAACATTTGGCATTGCTTTACTCTCTTTAATTTTATTATCTTTAATTTTATTACAGTAAAACTTTCCTATAACACAAACTTTGTTATTCTTTTGAAAGTCAATATCCAGCTGTCGTGGGGTTTGTTGTTTGCCTACTAATGAAAATGCGTAAAAGACAGTTTGAAAAGCAAAGGATCTCAATTCAAAGGATTTTTCTCTTTTCCATAGTCCACTGATCCCCCAGCAAAAAACAAGCAAGATGACATCAATCTTTTTGGTGAGATGCCAAGTGTCCCTGGAATCCCTCCACCTCCCAAACAAACAAAGCCTGCTCAAGCTGGTTTCATTGATTTGTTTGATCCTTTGGAAGAAGCCCTCCCTCCTTCAAATGGAGAGTCTACAAATACTCAACCACCAGCAGAATTATTCTCAGATTTTCCAGCTCCTAGTGAGGGAAATGGTAATGGACCGTTTGACCAGCAATCCTTTGCACCACATGCCATTTCATCGCCATTTGACGAATCCCCAACCAATTTGGACAATGTCGCAAACCCCTTTAATCAAATGTTTGATCAACCAAAAACCACCTCACCCACCACCACCACTACATCCACTTTTGGTGATATTTTTGATCCACTGGATCAATTCTCTTCTACACAATCAAGTTCCACACCTGTCTTTGGTGATAGCTTTGTGGATAGTGCTCCCAAGCCTGCAATGAGTAACGAGTCTGCTCCACCTCAACCAGTACAAAGGCCRAGACCAGCTCCCAGGACAGTAGGGGCTGTATCATTACCCCCTCCACCTTCGAAACAGAGCGTCAAGGCAGCAAAATTAGCAGCTGCCTCTGGTGGTGCTGCGACTCCCCCTRCACCAGTTGCTAATAATGATGTTACGTCAAGTCAACCAAGTACAGGTAAATTACATAATAACCAAAGTGGCGTAACAACCATCAGATCTGAAATAGTGATGTACGAATGACATCACTGCAAAACTGAGGTATCATGAAGCCTGTGGAAATTGACCAGCGAAAAATAAAAACCTGTCTAATATTGAAACAAAAATTCAACTCAACAGTGACTGTGTTCCTGTTATCAACCTTTTCTTACCAATGTTTTTTCTTCATTTAGTGGCCTTGAAATCAATGATTTCAGGAGGAAAAGTGGCACCTTCGTTTTGCAAATTTTCTCGATTTTGATTAGCTAACATTTTCTCTGAGATCAGCTGGAAGGGGTTATTAGTCAAGGTAGACAAGTAAAATGAAGTAAAAAACATTCCAGTAACGTAAATTTCCTCTCAAAGATCTATTAATTGGGTCTTTTGACTGATGAGTACATAGTTTTCTAGTCACAGTTCTGGCTGTATATTGTTCAATATCCGGCTGTTATTTAAAGCACTGATACATCTAGGCTAATTTATTTGATTGACAATAGTCTTTACCTATCTATTAACATTTTGTCTCCAATTTATTAGCCTGTAGCAAGGAACAGTCTTGATACAAATTATTTAAAAGTATAAGTATGTTGATTCATAAGCATAAATGCACCTTTCCATGTCATATTTTCACTAATTTTTTTCAGATCTTCTAAGTATGGAATCTACAACTCCTCCAAACCCGTTTGCGAGGGATCCTGGCTTTGACCCTTTTGCTGACAGCTTTGATCCTCTGGAGTCCAATGTTGCTGCTTCAAACAACGTTAATCCACTAGATTTGCAGGTATACTGTCTACAATGTGAAAAATAAATAAATAAATAAAACTATAAAATGGGTTTGGGTGGCATACCATAGAATATCCCATGATGCACTTCTATATCCTGGATAAGATCAGAAAGATAAGATAAGAATAGATAGAATTCTATTACAAGATTAAAGTAGAGTTTATTTTACCTTATAAAAAAAAAATTTATTAAAAAGTCTTTAGCGGAGTGTGTTAACACTCTCTACTAAGTTATACAATGCTTTTGAGTGGTATACCATACCCAGGGTTCCAAAGGAATTTTCTCTCTCTTRAGGCTTTGCAGCTCGCAGTCAGTAAATACATGGAAAAAATCCCTCTGGAACCCAGGGTAGAGATTCCAATTATATTTTCTCTGTGTGCCGATCACCAGCCTTTAGGCAAGTTTGTTTACCAAGAAAATCCATGGTGTGCCACGAGAAAGCATTGTATATATAGCTATTATTATACAAGTGACAAGTGGGATATTCCATCATGGTGTGGCACAAGAAAGCATTGTATAATTATTATATACAAGTGACAAGTGCTATATATTCCATGGTGTGTCTGATTGGCTGTATTTTCCATGCTGTGGGATAAAGATGTTATGATATATATATATGTACAGATATATGTATATATCTTTTTCCAGCATGAATTTTCAAAAGGAATGAAGCTTGATAGCAATGATTTGTTCTCTTAGTAACCAACATCTACAAAATGAGGTAAGTAAAAATGTAGAACTTAATATGTTGGCCAGCGTAGTACAAGTTTCTTTTGATAGATTCATAGTAATGTTTTAACATATTTCCACGTTGGCACTGGGAATAAGAATAAGAATCAAGAGTTAAGTATGTAGTTTTTGTAGGTGCAGGCATAGCTCAGTTGGTTAGTGCTCGAACTTCAGAGCTTGAGGTCCATGGTTCGATCCTTAGGACCTCCACCTCTGTTTCGACTTCTCTCTAATCAGTGTAGCTTCAGCTTTAAATACTCTTAAAACAGAACACTGATGTAGAGAGAGGGTAAAGTGCACACCGTCGGCTTCCATTGATAGCAGTTGAATTTCAACTGAAGGAACTACCGACGTTAAATATAGGTACTTTACCTTTACCTTTAGTATGTAGTATGAAGTAGCATACTCACATCACATCTGGCCTCACAATTATTCCTGAACTGGGCATCAGATATCAGTAGAAAGGTTAGAATCAGACTCCCTCCACAAAATCAAACACTCTAAATTCCAATTACATGTAGTTCCAAAAATTATTTATACCCCCTCACGGAGGAATTTTTTAAGACGCCCCCTACCCGCACCGGAGATTCCAATTTTCTTCCATACAAACTCTGAAATTTTTGTTCTTTCTCTGACCCTCCCAACTCTTCATAAATTCCAAATTCCTCTGTGGGGTGGGTATGGATGATTTCTGGAGCTACGCATTGGATCTTTAAGTTAGTCATGCACTGACTGAAATCAGGCAAGGGGTTTTAGAAATTATCAATAAAGATTGAAATTTTTTGAAGGAGTGAGATCAGGGAAARATAGGGGGGAGTAAACAGCTACTAGTATTTCAAAACAGGTTGGTGTTTGTTTTGTTGCATCTTGCATACCAAGCCTGAAATGAGTTTTTTTAAACAGCTTTATTTGCCTTAAAATTTCTAAACTACAGAGATAATTGACCACATACTAAATAAAATAATAATAATACAAGAAGAAGGACCAAGAGGGTGGGAGTGAACAGGACTTAGAGTCCCATGAAAGGCATCTCCCCTGTTGTGGATCATAATTATGTAAATAATGTCAGCACAGAAGAAAATATATATGCTCAAAAAGATATGCAGACAAAGTGTGGGAAATTCTTTCAGTCCATAGACCATATGAAAAATGAGTGTTTATGGTGCTTGTTCACAGTCTTRCACTCATTTTCAGAAATATATTTTCATTAAAAGAAAGACCATGTCTAAATAAGTGATATTGGAAAGTTCTGTTGTCATATATATAATCCCTGTTATATAAAGCATGTGAAATGTATCAAAAACATGATAGTGAGGCTGGTAGGGCCTTGGTTGTTGTTTCCATACAAACCTTTCTAATTTCAAACACTGAGCTGTAGCTTTTTATAATTAATTAATGTTACTACACTGAAATTTTGGAAGATCRCCACTTTAAATATACTCTTTCCAATGATTGCATTGTAGTGTTCTATAACTGATGAACTAAGGTATCCCAAGGGACTCACCCTTTTTCAGGTAGTCTATATTCTTGTGACGTGAGTGCATTCACATCGTCTGTAGTGCATTTAGGGCTTGGTATGTAACATGAGGCAAAACCTACACCAACCTTTTTTGAAATATCTGTATACTGTAGCTTGTCTATTGCTGCTTAGCGCAGTCTTATGTCTTGAAAAGTAACTTTTAATTTCACTTTTATCTATAGGTCTAGTTGGCCATGCCATGAGAGAGGTACAAATATTGGGATGTTAGAGTAGAGTAGAGAAAATAATTAGCTTGTGGTCTTAACATCACACCGAGATTTTATTTTTGATATTAGTGATCAAAAAATCATATTATTAAATAGATGAAGAAGACTCATATAAATCGACTGATTGAATGAGAGTCAATAAAATGATAATATGAATTAGAGAGGTATTGTCCAAAAAAAATCATTTCTAATTTACAAAATATTGAATAGGAATAATTATGATTGAAAAAATAAAAATAAATATAAACCTTTGTAATATTTGCTTATTATCACACTAACTGGGACCACTCATCACGATAGAATGGAAACAAGGGTGTAAAGCCCAGATATCCGAGAAACACTTAGGTGTTACAGTGCGTTTTGGATTTTCAACAATGGTATGATTCACCGAGCAACTTGCTTGTGCTTGTTGCAACTTGGTTGCGATTGTTGCAACTTGCTCAGAGGAACCGATAATCAACATTCCAATGTTGTAAGGCAATGTTGCAACTTCACAGGAAAAGGAACATCTGATTTCACTGTTATAACAACTACTGTGGGAATGAACRTGAATGAAAGATTTGTGTGTTGCTGAGGTCAATATGAACATGAATGAAAGATT